TCCTCTGGCGGCCATGTTCACCGTTCCTATGCGTAGCCATTCTCGGTAATTGCCGCTGATGGCACAACCAGCTTTCCTTATAACTTGATCACATCGTGAATCTACCTTGTTACATGCTGTAGCATATCAAGGCTATGTGCAAAGATAGCTTGGTGGCTGTGTTCCGCTATACCCTTGTAGGTAGGCGAACACAACGTTGGAACACACAGCTGAGCAGAAAGGCGAGAACCCTATATCTGCAAACTAAGGTATGTAGTAGAGGTATCTGGTTGTGAAGGCGAACGGGACGGAATGGAGCATTGCGTCCTAGTTACCGGTACTACGCGACCTACTAGGTGAAGTGTGAAGTGTGAAGCTTTGAAGCCCAGCTCGGAGATACCTAGGTCGTTGATGTAGGGCCGAGCAGGCATCTCCCTCGCTCCTACCTGGAGGGATGCGTCTAACAGATTGATAAGTGCTGCGGGACCCCCACAACACCCGAACCCCATGGCACAGGGCATTCATCCCCAGCTGCAGAGCCCCAAGGTATCCATTGTAGCTGCCTACGTTACAGAAGTTAGCAGCTGAGAGATATACCTCTCTAGGTACAGGCTAGTCGTACAGCTAGATGCAGGGTACTTGTACAACATCACAACTATGCCTGCCGCTAGATGTCCCTAAAGGTTTGCCATTTTAGGTAGTCAAGCTCATTGCTCGGGTCTACCAGGTAGGCATTCTAGAGCGGCCGATCCCTATCTCCGCTGCCCGCCCCAGCTCCTTGGTGCCTTGGCCGTTGTCGTAATCGGACATGGATGCCATCGGCGTACTCACTCACATGTCTGCTCAAAATAAATCCTTGGATACATCCTCTAACTCGATTTAACTTAGATACTTTATTAACCTACCGCCGCAATCTTCCCTCCATAACATCCCGCACCCCAGCTGAGTGAGTGTGTGCCATTTCGCCTCACCTGCACCGACTGTTACCTCATCTCCGCCCTTTTATCGCCTGCAACAAATCACAGGCCGCACAGGCTGACAGCTCGAAATGGCGCTCAATCCAGCAATTCCAAATCAGAATCAGAACCAGATTAAGCCGCCGCTGCTCCTGATGCCGGCCGAGATCCGCAATGCCATCTACGAGCACGTCGTCAACAGCGAGTGGGGTCACACTTCGCAGGATTACTTCGTCCTGGACCGGCCCTTGCCCGCCCTCTTCCGCACCAACAAGCAGATCCGGTCCGAAGCCCTCGACGTCTTCCTGCTCAAGAACCATTTCCACGTCTACACGAGCCACGTCGGCCTCAAGTGGCTCAGGATTCTCGGCAATGATGTCAACCGCTTCCGCTTCCTCATTCTCTTCATTGATCTCAATCTTCAGGCCTGGCTCACATACATCAAGGTTCTTCTGCTCGGCGTCTCGGACTGTCTGGAATTGAGGATTCGAAAGGCTGCCGCTAGCTTATCTGACTCCCGGCTTGAGGGGTTTCTGCATACTGCAGGACTTTACAATAAAAAACGTTGGACTAGCGAGGACAACGGTGCTGGCGAGCTCATCTTCAAGCGGACGAATACTTGATCTGTTGAAAGCAGACGAGCGCTCGTCTTTCTTAGCTCTAGCCTGCAAACACGCTGTATGGTGGGGATGCGAATGCTTGGATTATGTCTCACTCCCAAACCGATCATGGTATGCTCACGATTCTGCATACTGTGTCTTTGACACCAAGGAGAGGGGACTAAATATTGGAGATTTTGTTCATTGGAAACTATCGGTGTGTATGTTCGACTCGCTGTAGGCATTTGAGAAGTTACCATGCTAACGAGATCTAGACCAAGTATAAACGAGCTCATTTAGCCAGAGAGCATGATTGTCTGTAAAATAACCCATCCCCATGCCTTCGGAGCCAAAATCCAGATGTATGGTATCTTCTCAATTGTCAGGGGCTATAGTTACTATGGACCCCCAGAGTGGATGTAGTGGCCTTCAGTGTCTAAAAGGGGGTTACACCCCTTTAGATATTATTAGAAAGGCAGAGGCCAATTGACCAACCTTCACCCATCCGTATGGCTACTGACTCCTTATAACCACCTACTATGTGACTGCTTCGAGGCTTTTATTCACTCCAAGAAAAATACACCTGATACATATATGCTTAAGTCTGTATTTGTATCGCAGGTGTAGACTGCGATTGCCATGGCTTATATCAATTTTTACAAACTGCATTGCGGCAGTTATATACAAGTAGTCTCTTTCTTGTAGTTCATAATACTCGGCCGAAAGAGGATGGAAAGATAGGCTCACAACTTCATCATAGTTATCGCGGATGCTGGAAAGAGATTATCAAGTTCAATAGCTATAATAATAACGGACAAAACAAATAATGCTAGTTGACATTACAGTTAGAGTAATTACCGGATGGATTGATTGTTATAGAATTAGTCACTGTGCTCCAGGAATCGGAGTTTCGAGTCATCCATCTTTTCGCGCGAAAGTCGAGTTTGTTCTCTTTAATGTACCAAGATTCACTTCAATATAATTCACCTCATTTCTTGGCTCTGAAGCAGCTTCATCCGATGATAGTTGTCAACAACAAACTTGGAAGTCTATATTTGTTAATTTGTAAACACTTTAACAGCGACAAGCCGGTCCCATCAATCAGCCATTGAAGCAGTTATTTACCGTTTTTTGACTTTTGTATAATGTTCCGCCGTATCCGTTCTTTATACATTCAAGTTTGCATCCTGTTTTCTGGTTCTAAAAGGGAAAGCCTTGCAGTCGTTATAGGCAGTGTTGTCACGTAATAATTATAAATTTCATACGAATCATCCAAGAGAAACTTTTATTCTTATGCTTAAGGTTACCTATACTACTTGGGCTAATCTTAGTTTATATCTACATTTTTTACTTGGATGAAACTTTCCCGTGTGAATATTGATTGGAATCGAGGTGGGCAGGGCAGACAATGCCATAAATCCTGTGTCAACTGGCCTGGCTAATGCTACACCTCCATCTACAAATTGGAGAGAACGTGATGAATGTACGGGTATATAATATGCAATGATCTTCTTACAGTGATTGTGATATATAGCAATGTAGCCCTCGAATTGGTGCTTGATTACCTGAGCACGTATGGGAAGTTTAAATGGCCAAGACTGGCTGTCAATGCCACAATGGGCACACCCTTAGCCTTCACCTTTCAATTGCCCTATTTTCTTACCACAATTCATAAATTGAGAAAATTGTCCTCTTGAAACTAATTGGTAACTTTCACCTGTTGCCCGAGTAACCCCAATGCAAGTTATGAATAAGCCAAACTGTCTTCAATGGAGACATCCCCCATTGACATCCACAACCAGCTATAAAAAGTAACGAAGAGATCGGGAACCAGTAGCCTACCCCAAATCCTATATTTATATCCGAGGCTCATCCTAGGTCTACCTCTCTCTCCCCCACCTCCTCTCCTCTCCTCTCCCGAGGAACTCATTCACGCTCTGCTCCGTCATAATAACTTGTTCCAAACAAAGAAATCCACTTTACAGGCAGCTTTGCTCAGAAAACAGCCTACCAGGCCTTTTCTAGCCGTACTGTTGGTACACCCACACTACCACTCACCTGCGGTAAGTAATCTTCGAAATCCATCAGGGTGTCATTATCAGACCATCTCCATCACACTCCTCTTTATATGCTCATTGAGATTTACTAATTTCACTCCTCAGATCAAACCTTTCCACTACGAAGCAGTACCATAGAACAAAGAAATCCGACAGAAAGAATCGTGTGCTTAGCCCCAAGCTCCCATACACTCTTTAAAAACGCTCAACATGGCAGGAACAGTAAGTGTTATCAGTTCCCTCATCTAGCACCCAAAGACACGCACTGACTGATTGAGCAGAGTCTCCTCAATATGCCACCTGAGGTCCGCCTGATGATCTACAACTTCACCTTCATCCGGAAAGTCACTGGGAAGGGAATTCAGCCTGCTGACGGTTTCACTTGCAAACTGCTCCCTCCACCACTGGCTCGTGTAAATCGACTGTTTCGGCAAGAAGTCATATTAGAATACTATTCCAAAAAAGAATTCTGGATTCAACTCCCAGTCCGGAAAAACCATTATTACAAAGCTTTCCACGTCAGGTGTGAGCTCGCCGCCCACTTCATCCCAATGATCAAAAGCCTGCGGGCCGAGATCTTCGACGAAGTTGATGCGCCATGGGCAATCCAATTTCATCCCGCTCCACCAGCGTGTCAGACTGGACTGACTCTGAATGACGAAGAACTTGCGCCGTTCATGGTCTGTGGCGCGACGGGTAAGCGCCGGAGTCGTGCCGAAGCTGTCTATTACGGCAGCTTGGCGATGTTATGGCGCAATATGGACAACATGCTGGCCACTCGCACTGTATGGGAGGTGAATAGTCTGGCAGAAGCAGAGAGGTACGACGAGGATGTTGTGCTGAATGCCCTGAATACGCTCATCGATCGCTCTTATCTCGCGAATAGTCGTCTCCAAGCAACTTGGACCTATTTCTATTCATCGGGTTGATGGGAACGCTGAAGCAAGGTTTTGGGGGGCGATGTGCGCAGCAGAGCTAGGAATTATACTATATGCCATTATAATGTCATGTCGTAGCGAAAAAGATATAATTTTAATAGTCCCTGAAGCTATTCTGTCTTTAAATGCGATCAGAATGCTGTGACATTGTGAAAGTAGCGCTCAAGTTTTGTGCAGCAACATGGGCTTGCATCTAGGCAGGACTAAAAGAGACAAGAAACAAATAGAGACGTCAATCCAATGAAGGATGTGATGAATGAGTAATTGAGATGGGTTCGAATCGGTGATCTAACCATAAGTAATTGATAACATAGTGAGTGGGAGTATAAATATAAGTAACTGTCTCTGAAAGGCAGAGGAAAAGGGACACGGCTAAACCAAAAAGAAAAAAAAATCGTTGTCAACATGATATGCGAAAAAGATAAATGAATAAAAAGTTCTTTAAAGTTCAAAAAGTACGAATGAGACGTTCTCCGAATCGGGGAATCGAACCCCGGGCTTGACGGTAACTTTCTATCACCTGATAGGTGGGAATGAGAGCGTCAAATGTTAGCCACTACACCAATTCGGATTTATCGTCTGCGTCTTCCTCAAAGGGATAGAGGTCAAACTCATTTACCTGATTCTATATACCTAGCTCACAAGCTAATGCACGCTGAGACGACGCGATAGCGAACGATGCTTAGCCAATCAGGCGACACAGAGCTAAGGTTGATTAGCGTAATTGAACCGCTAAACCTTGGTCGAGCAGGTGAGCTGTTGTGTCTGGAAGATGCTTTGTTTCCAGAAGATTCAAGTAAAATGTTGTATTAATTAGAAAGATTTATTAGGAACAATTGCTCATAATAATTTTATACGTAAGCGACCACATGTTTTACAGTTATGCTTCTAATTAGGCACAGTTGCGTCTTCAAACGTGCTACCTACCTTCTTGGTGCTATGTTTACGCAGAGTGTCAATTCGTCAAAGTCTTGTGTGCGAAGGGCGACCTCTTCTGGAACGGGAATGGGTTTCAATATCATGAATCACACCGACCTGGGAATCATCACACTCAGGCGCAACCCCAATAGTCAAAGATTTGTCGATGCAAGTATAGCCTGAATTGTTCTCATAGCAAAAGTAGTCGAAAGGGGGGTGATGACTGGTGAAACTAGATCGAAATGGTATGTTTGACCCCGAGAGCTGTGCCAGTCCATCGGATACATCTCAATAGTATATAGATGTGTTCAGTGCTGGAGACTCTAGCCGCCGCTCCTTTTCTCCCTCGGTTTCTCGTCAAATATCAAGATGACCGAAGAATTTGCGCACAACCTTCTGAGCACGTCATATGTCCGCAATCGCGGCGTACAGAAATAAGCCTAAGCAAACCAAATGGACTAGGAGGTGTACAAATGGGCCGCCAAGTATCGACGTTTCCTGAACTTCATATCGTGATTCCTTTTGAATACGACTGAAGGCTCTATAACAAGGCCAAGCATGGTATGATCCTAGCGCAGTAGCCAGCACCCGCGTCGTAGTAGTACTGCAACCCAGACCAGTAATAACAGCTAGGCAGATGATGCTTGAGGCTAGTAAGAGCCCTCCATATTGCCTTAAGATGAGTTTAGCAGCGGGCGTACAGTTGGGAAGTTGGCCCTCTGGGTGAACAATGAAAGAGACACCCGCGGCTGTCTCAACTACGGCATGGATGACGAAAGCCAGCTGGTTAAGATGCATAACTTTTCAAATGTCGCCTCGGAACGAGAGCTTAACCGGTTCTCGATGTCAGGTTTTTCGCTCAGTGCTTGCAACATGGGTATATATAATATCTCTTGCTACCTACATACCGACGTGATGTAGGGCAAGTAGTAGGGACTATTTAGTTTCTCAGGCGGATCTGCTTGGGTCCTAACAGGTCCTAACAGGCGTGTCTGGCAACTGTGATAAGATCGGGCTCCTTATTTGATATAGGGATGATTTCAAAGGACCATGCGATTCGCAACATAAGTAGAATTATAATTCCGGGCTTATCATATAGCAATATGTGTGCCCTAGACGATGAGCACAATTGGACTGGTTGACTACCAGGTCCTGATGGAATTATAGGTCTTGTCTTGGCACTGCAAGATAACGTAAACTCCCTAACCTAGTGTAGCTTCTAGACTGAAACGGCAGTACGCAGAGGCTGGGGGCGCACAGCTACTGCATGCTAGTATAGGTGATACGAACGACTTATCTATTGGTATGCTACTTAAGGTAATATTGAGCATGTACTCGTCTCCTACCATGAGTAATCATGTAACTGCACAGCCTCATATTCGAACTGAGGCAGGCGTTTGGCCCTCAACAAACTTCGCCGACCTCTTTGCTACTGTGACTGACAGTCCCGAGGTCTATCCGCTGCTTCGTCGCACAGGCTCTATACGTCTCCTGTTTCAGGCGCCGATAGCTGCCAGCTAGTTGCTGTGCTATGTACTCCTAATATACCGTGATACAATCCCTGCCATGCCTTGTTGACAGAAGCTGGTTCGCAACCGTCGTGAAACGCGTGGCGTAGATATGCCGAGATGTCATGGTCGACATTTCCCTATTGTGGCAATGTAAGCTGTTGTCGGGTAAGCTGTGATCGTGGCACGGAACGTGCCGAGGAGTCGAGTTAGGTATACCTGCATCCAGCGTGGACTCAAGATTCAGCATGCAAGTCGAGTCGTCATAGACTAAATATCTTGCCGGCCCGCCTTCTTTCTATCGTCTCAGCTTATCCGAGTTAAAACATCTCTCTAGTCTCTCTTGCCACACCGCTTTCAGGTAACACGACGTCGCTTCTTCCCTTTTGCCCCAACACTTTGATAACAGCGCATCCCACAGCCACTGTTTCAACAGACCAATAAAACCCCCATCCTGTTGGATCAGCCTTCTTACCTTGCTTGAGTCATCCTGGTCCGACATTGTTTCTGCTCGGCCCCAAACCTAGTGGCCCCCTGAATCTGTATCTGAAACTGTTATGTCATGCTCCCCACGACGAGAGGCGAGACTTAGACAAAACCAACCAACATCGTCAATCATTTTTCCATTGTCGCCAACATTGACGGCTGCCAGAAGAATAAACCTCAGATCTTGATCAGCTACGACATCGTCTACGTCATGATAACCGACAACAGATTTGGGGAGCTTGGCCTCTCCATTATTGGACTGGGGGCTCAGTATCCACCAAATAAACTTAAGGCGGACGAACTGGCTAAGTTGGCCGCCAAATTCCACCCGGAATCACCAGCGTAAGCTCTAATTGGAGAAAACTATGAAGAAGGCGCGTGAACTGACAGTTTTCTTCTTATGTAGAATGGGGAAGGTCCTCTCCATTAATCGATTTACAGGAATTGAGACTCGTTCCTCAATCGGGACGTCAGAACACCCACTAGTCAATAATGCTGACCCGCCATCAATAGCGGAGCTACACGCAACGTTTATGAGCGACGGCGTGCCACTTGCAGTGGATGCAGCGCGGAAAGCACTGGCAGAGGCGCGACTTGATACCTCACAGATTACGCATGTAGTCTCTACGACCTGTACTGACAGTGCAAACCCGGGATTTGATCACTTTGTCGCTAAGGAGCTGGGCCTTCTACCGAGCGTTGAGAAAGTACTTCTTCATGGCGTTGGCTGTAGTGGTGGATTGGCCACGTTACGGACAGCGGCAAATCTTGCGCTAGGACATAAGCTTCGCGGCAGGGCGGCTCGTATCTTGTGTGTAGCACTCGAAGTGAGCACTACACTGGTACGTAGCGAATTGGAAAGCATAGACAAGACCCAGGGCACACGCATTGGAGCCTGTCTATTCTCAGACTGTGCGAGCGCCGTAATATTGAGCAATGGAATAGGAGAGGCCACGGTGGAACCCGTATACGAGCTGCTAGGTTGGGACCACAGGACAATACCGAACTCAGAGGGCGATCTGGGATTCGACGCTGATCCTCTAGGATGGAAGGTCGTGCTCTCGCAGCGTGTGCCGAAGCTGACAGAGCAAGTTCTTGAGCCGGCCTTTGCAGATTTGATGGCTAGTGTAGAGCATAGTTTGCCTGAGACATATCGGACGGCCCCCGATTTTGACTGGGCGATGCATCCCGGTGGTCTTACGATTTTGACTAACGCTGAGCGGACCCTGAAGATATCGGCGGAGCATATGCGTGCCAGCTATCATCGGTATATGGAACATGGCAACTCGAGCTCTGCAACCATCTTTAGCGTCATGGACCATTTACGTTCAAAAGAGATGGATTCCTACGCGCCTGGTGGACAAGCCAAAGAATACGTGGTTGGATGTGCATTCGGTCCTGGCATCACCGTTGAGATGTGCATGTTAAAGCGAAATATGGGTGCACGTGGACTACAGACACCGCCCGAGACAGATAGTGAGGCGAGCAGGAGTGAACACGGCGATGAAGACGATAGGGATTGGTCAAGCCTTGACGGAGAGAAGGAGGCGAGCCCTGTGCCAATTGATTCCCTATCACGGAATCAAAATACTGCGACTGCTCTAGCAGATCAACAAGGATTTATTAATGAGGCACTGGCGAGTGTTGAATTGGATTGAAATAAACTGGCTGCCGCTACTGAAGGACTTGTAGTCGCGTTAGGCGCTACATAATATAGCTATAATTGTATGAATAGCGTATATTGGTTATTATTAAGTAGATATCACCACTGGTCATCACTAGAAATATAATTAGATTACCATCATTGGACACGTATTAGCGTAACGATGGCCTTTCAAAATATGTTCAAAAGTACGCCCGAGAGCAGCTATCTAAATAAGAATATCGCTTATTATCTGCTCTGGGCTCGATTATTTGAAGGCACGAATCATGCGCTGTTTCACATACTCGTTGACTTACTCTCCGTGAGTAATTAGAGACTGCCAGGGATGGCAACCTGGGTCCCGAGGCGCTCAAATCTATTAATGCTCGAGGGTCTGACTTTTTTTTAAAAATATATGATCTTAGTGCATAACGAGTGTTCCGACCACACTTACTAGTGCACTTAGAGTTCGGAAGTGCTCTCAAGAGGTGAAACGGTAACCACAGCGGTCTCATTCATCGTGCCGCCACGATACGCGTACGTGAATGTCCAACCTGAACCTGCGCCGCCGTGGTTACCATTCTTATCGACGACTACGATCCCGCTCTGGACGGTCGGGTACTTCCTCAACATGCGTCTGACGGCGTCCTCGGCAGCTGCTTTCGGGTGCAAACCCAACCTCAGGCTCTCTACGGCTTGATAGCATGGCACTATAATGCTCGAGGTTAGTTTTTGAGAGACCAAGTATGACTAGTGAGTATTTAAAAAGATACTAGGCCTATGAAGACTGGCTTTGAAATTGAAGGAAGTCTCGGTCTTGCAGAGGTTGTAAAAACAGAAGGCAAACGCTGCCAAAAGTTGCTTACAGAAGCGCATCATAATGTCTCCATCTCCTGTGGCGCCGCATCCGCCCACATCGCCATCTACGTACGATCCGCTCCCCGTGATCGGGCCATCGCCTACTCGTCCAGGGATCTTGTGGCTGGCGCCGTTCGTCGATGTCCCGGCTGCCATGGT